GCTGGCGAGCCGGTGCCTTCAAAGAAGGAATGGATCCAGAAGCTCTTGGACAAACCTGGAGACAAGGACATCTCCCTCTTTCTTGTGTCGCCACTTCCAGTGTGGCTGCTGAAGATGTCTTCGCCCCGCATGGACACATGATGTAAGAATATTAAGAAGAACATAGTCTCATACGTTTGCGCAGCTCCTCTCAGTTCCAATTCGTTCCAGGGCACTATGCTCTGGCACTTAAAGCAGCAGCTGGTGCCGGAAGAGGCTGGAGAGACGTCAGCTGAAGCTCAGCCGAATTGGAATGAAGTTCCGGTGTTTTGCAGTTGGGAGAAGCCCTGCACATCTCCATGGAGATAGCAAGACCGGACCAGCTGGAGCCCCTGGCCAAGAAGCACGAGGCCGAGCCCCCAAGAAAGTCCGACCTCGCCCTCCAAAACCATTAGAATCTGTGTCCTATGTGCGAATGTCCTCTCTGTATGCTGTCTACTCCTGCGACGCAGGTCCTCCTCGTGGCCAACCTGGCAGCACAGGGAGGCGCCTCACGGGCGTCGGTTGAGTCTTTTCGCGTCAAGTTCTCAGAACGTAAACTTTTGTTGTTTCCCGAAAGGTCGTCATGCCGTTCGTACGAGCACTCGATTCACTCGATTCTTGAGGCCTTTGCGCAGCAGCTGTTTCTACTGGGAAAAGTCTCGAGCTTGGCATCCAAACGTGTTGCAAGTCGTTTCAATGAGAGCGCCCTCGATGAGATTCCATCATGTTCGGGGCTTTCGGATTCAGGGGTTACAGGGTTCACGTGGGTTCACGTCTGCCTTCACGCTTCCCCTGTGTTTTTTTCCAAGAGGTGCCTGCCCAAGTCCCTGTCAGCCAGAAGACGGGTGCTTCAAAGCTCGCACCTGAGCCAGATGATTCAAAGTCTTGAAGTCCACCGATTCTGCTGATTCAGGAAAGCAGGCAAGAAGCAGCAGCAGCTGCGTCAGAGGGCGCGGCCTCTGTTTGTGGCCTTGACGCAGGCCTGCCGCCCAGAGCGGCCAAAATGCGGCTTTGCCAGTGCCACCGCTTGCCAAGGATTCATCGTCAGTGCCAGTGCCACGTGGCCAGGTCTGCCCCGGAGCTTGGATACCTTTCCGTATCGAGCAGAAGTGTGCATTGCGCCTCATCGCGATGTTCTTGATTCTTGATCCCACTTGGCAGATGGCCGCCTTTGTCGGTGGCAAGAGCCAGCAGCCCTGACGCGCTTGCAGTGTGCTTGCAGTGTGCTGAGAGCCTGGCGAGGAGAGTCTAAGCCTCCTTCAGGACTCGTTTGAGTGCAGACGTGTGCCAGGCGCGCGCATGAGCTCAAGGCAGAGAAGGGCAAGTTTTGTTCAGCGCAGGCGTGCAGTTGCAGGCTGTTCTGAGTTCTCCGCTAGTTTTGCAGGCATGGGACGGTGTGGAGAACCTGAAGCTAATGGAGGTTGGCTTTAATTGTCTCTAACCATCAGTTCGTGGCAGCGGCTTCCACAGGTCCATAAAACCGTAGGTGTCTGCGCAGAATCACAGTGAGTTCATCGTGTGCGTCCTGTGGCATGTGGCATCGTGAGGACGTTGCACTTGCAGCGATCAGTGCCATACCAGCTGGAAAGGCAGAGACCGTGAGTTGCGTGCCCTTCCTTCAAACAGACGATGCTTTTTCCAGGTGTTGACAGACAAGGTCTCAGATCTCTGACGGGCCGAGCGCTGTGCCCTGTAGAATTCGGCGGCCTGAAGCACCAGCAGAAGGTGCCAGAACGTGTGCCTCTGTTAGGGTAGCTCCAGGGATGTCCTAGCGCAGCAACGATAAGATAAGACCGTGCGAATCAAAGACCCTGTTGTGTTGCGCTCTGGCGGCAAACACTGCTGACCTGTGTCGTGACAGAGACTGAATGGCGGAAACAGGGCCGCTTTGAAGTGATCCCGCTTTGCTGCGTTTTCAATTACAACAGAACTTGGCATCCGCGCAGGGCCTTCCAGACATGCTCGCCCTTCTCGTCACCGCTCTCTTGCCGAGCGTCCATCATCAAGGCTGGGACAGGAGAGTCGGAATCAAGGTTTGAAAACCCACGCTTCGGCTCAGTTCTTTGTACGTGAGTTGTGTGGGGTGGGTTCGGCTGCGGTTCGGCTGCGGTTCCTCTCCGAGTGGTTATTCCACGTCGATCTGCAACTCCTCCTTGTGTGGTCAAGCGGAACAGCACTCCGCAAAGATAGTAGGAGCATGCTTCCGCTGTAGCTAGAGCCTGTCAGCAAGGGTGGAGGGGTTGGCAAACGGAATGTCGCGAAGAAAAGCACCAAGAAAAGGCGCTCGCCAGACCAGGCCGCGCGGGCGCGCACGTCATTTTGTACAAACAGCTTGCAGGCAATTGACGACTGTAAGTATGCTGCAACCACGATCCCAAGGTGGATCTAAAAAAGGCCAGGAAGAAACACTAATGATGTAGAAATGGGCTGCGTGTAACTAGGTCGTTCATTCGGTACAGTAAGTCGATTGTGGCGTGGACACGGCCTTCGCCCTTCGCGGTTCTTCTCCACCCAGCATGTCTGGGTGCCTCCGCAAGTGTCATCGGCCCCCTCCGCAGGGGTTGATTTTGTGGTAAGAAGGCCAAGGGAGGTACGCAGGGCCAAATGTGTGCAAACAAAGAACAAAACGGATTCGGCACATCTCCAGCTGAGCATCTAAAAACGGATCCCGCCCTTGGCCTGTACCTGCAGCTTTCTTGGTTTTTGATTTCCCCCATGTTTGCTGCATTCTGGATATTGGAGAGGCTCCGTCGGCAGGAGGAGCAGGAGGAGAGCCACAGAAATGCGATCACCCGTGCTGCGCCTTTTTGTGTTTACTGGTGTTTGTCTCGTTGCTTGGCGGTGAATCAGCTGTGCAGGATGGGCGATTCCTCTTCCTCGAAGGTGTCGATTTTGCATGCATGTAACGGCGCACGTTATGTTCCCCCTTATACTAACCGACATTAATAGGGATCATAATGGGAGGTACCACAATCCTCTTTGAGGACTGTTAGTGTAAGGGGAACATCGGGAACATCCCAAGGCGCACACGTAGTTATCGCAGGCCTTTGTGGCCACGGGGTGGCTGCGCTACTCCTGCGAAGGAGCTCCACTTGAGCATGTCCCCTCATGCAGGTGCTCTGAATCTTTCTGACCTTTGGGCTGCAGGAGACGCATGAGCAGCAAAGCCTCCTGGGAGCTGTGGCAGGTCCTTCAAGCACTGAGGGCTGAGCAGCGCAGAGTTGCTGGTCTCGCCAGGCTTCTATGCCGAGCTTCTGAAGGCATGGGCCGGCCTGCAACAAGAGAGAGCTCACTGCTACGAAAGATCAAGACATCGCTGCGCAAACTGTTGTGGAGCTGGTGTGCAGATTGCGAGTGGTTTCGAGAGTGCTTTTTGTTTTTTTGAGCCAAACAAGTGCCCAAGGGAGCAGAATGTGGAGTCCCAGAGTCCATGATGACCTACGACCGGCGAGGGCCCTGAAGCGACGCCTTCAAGCGCCTTCAGCAGCGTCAGCAGCGCCTTGGGCTGTTTCATGCTTTTTCCTTCCCTTGCTTTCCGATGGTACGAGGTCAGAAGAGATCGACTTGTCCCACGAGTTTCCGCCCGAGCAAAGAGAGGCCCAGGTCGACCCGCAGGCACCTGGAGTGCTCTCAGTGCTCTCAGTGCTCTCAGTGCTCTCAGTGCTCTCAGTGCTCTCACAGTCGTCAAAGTCGTCCATGCTTCGCATTGCTTCGCATGGCTTTGCATTGTTTTGCATTGGTTCTGCTCCAGCGACTCCAGAGCGTTACAGACAGGACAGAATGGTAAAAGCTTTTGGGTTGCTGACATGGGAGGCAGCATTTCACCGGCCACGACGTGTGTGTTTCGAGGAGACCGCTTCAATTCAGGCGAGGAGGTAAAAAGCGAAACCCCCTCGCAACTCCAAAGACTCTCGCATATGCCCGCCCGGTGTGAAGCTAACTCCCAACCCAGCTCATGCGTGATTCCCCAATGATTCCCTAGACACTCGTCACACAACAGTCAAAGCAGCGAGTTGATCGCCGCGATCTGCGGGTTGCAGGTGGCCACCTGAGCCGCCGAAGCAGCGGCGCACGCGGCCCTCCTGGTGTCAATGTCACAAGGTTGTTTCGAAAGCGGTCAACGGCTGCAACGTTGTAGCATGTTGCAGCGTTGGAGGGCTCCGCTTTGGTCCAAGCTGATCTCCCTGGGCGCTTGACCCGAGAAACTCGAAGATTTTTTGAAGGTACCTAGAGCTTGGAGCCAAAGCGGCCCTTTGCTAGGCCAAAGAAGTCTTCGGCCTAAGGCCCGCCCTAGGCTTGACGGTGTCAATGTGGACGCAGATCCATGTCAGCTCAGCCGGCAAAGCACCTGCCAGAAATGTACTGATCGCTTGGCAACCATGCGCTGGCACCTGGCACCCATCGTCCTTGCTGATGACTCTGGTGGACCCCAGACTGCTAGAGCAGCAGCACTGGTGAGTAGTTTGCAAACCCCTAAGCCCTAAACCCTAAACCCTAAACCCCAAACCCCTACGACGGCAGACAGCAGAGTAGAAAAGCATGTGCGGACCAGCGTGACACTGGAGTTCTGGATTTGGAGATTCCATAGCCATGGCCCGGAGCTCATTGTGCACGTGCCTGCACACAAACAACATCCCCCCCCCCCAGAAGTTTTAGGGTTTAGGGTTTCGGGTTTAGGGTTTAAGGCAACGAGCATTTCAAGCTCAGATGCGGAGACCATGGCAAAGGCCAACCGTGAAAACTTGTGGCATGAGCACTAGGAGTCAACACCACTTGCAAGCACCTGTAGATGCGTTTTGCGGCACAGTGTCCCAATGATGGAGGCATCCCACAACGTTTTCGTGGACACATTAGACTCATTAGACTTGTGTATGTGTGAGAAGGACGAGGATGAGGAAGAGGAGGAGGAGGACGACGATTTCGATGAGGCCGACCACTCAAACAGCCCATTGGTCATTGTGCTCGCGCCAAAAAAAGCCCACTGGTTCGAGTGCTAACCTTCGTCACTTGTTCAAATTTTTGACATTCAGGTTCTTTCCCCTCCCATGGTGTCAAATCCCTGCGCAACAGGCTCTGACCTGGGAGGGGGGGAGAGAGGTGCCAGCTTGAATGCCACTTAGGCTACGGCTCAACGTGAAGCCTGCACGCCAAGGTCCAAATTTCGACTACTGGGATCGAGGAAGACAGGTCCACAGCGAATTGGTGAGTCTTCGGGTGCTCTGGTGCACTTAGTAAGGGGACAGTTGCACCTAGTCCGCTGTCGAATGACCCTCTGAATCTGCTGCCTGGGTCAGCCAAGCCCATCCTTGCAAACGCCGAAACTGTCCGAAGGCAAGTCTGCGGAAGCTGGCGATTGACCTTGCCAAGGCTGCAATCCCACGCCGTGAGGTTTGTCAGCCCGTTTGGACCGTCTCCATGGTAATTCCAGTCCGGCTACATCCACAAGCTTGCTGCAATGCTGCGAGAGCACGATCCGAAAGCCTGCTCCTCACACTGTGCCAGTGAAGTGTGAGGGCATGACGGAGGCTAATCAGAGCCACATCTTTTGGCTTCATGTGGCTTTGTCCTTCAGCGCCTTTCAGATACTTCTGCTTCCTTCCCGGCAAGAAGCACAGGCAAAGGTTTGGTTTGCGTTGGCTTGCTTTGGTTTGCTTTGGTCCACGGTGAGCCTCAATGCGCAGGTTGGACCACAGCAGACACTGTTTTCTGCAGCTCAGGCGGGGTCCTTTGAACAGGCTCTCACGAGTATGTGCCGCCGTGGAATGTCAGCTGAGAGTCACCAGCCATCTCTCACAAAGTCTTTAAAAACAGAAGTTGGCAGGCAAGTGGCAACGCAGCAGCGACAGAGCTGGTGGAAGAGGCAGCCGCAGGCTGTTGTCGGGTTTTTGTGGTTTTTTGACAGTGCATGGATGCCAGGCCGCTACGGATCTTCTCTTCACAGAACTGTCGAAGTTGCCACGGGCACAGGAGATGGAGGACGGCATTGTGCAGCAGTGTCTCCACGCGGGAGCCAATCCGATTCGTCCAGGTGGAGCTGCTGGCCACCTCCCTTTGCAGCATTTGTGCATCCAGGAAATGCACCATCCGGAGCCCCCAGATCCGATGATCGCCAAGCGAGTGGCCAGCAGAGTTGCGCAGGCAGTCTCGCAGCTGACAGAAGCGGCCCCGCTTGTCCTCATAATGGCTTTTGCAAGCCCGCAAGCCAATGAAGCAGCACTGCCGCTGGAAGCAGCAGCCTTGAACAAGAGTTTGGGCCGGGTAATCGTTCCAGTCCTCAGCTCTGCTGTGGGCCGGCTCTTGCTGCAGCGGCCTGCCCTGGCCGCTGCGCCACTTCTACGTAGAGCAGTAGAAGTGGCCCACAAGAAATTCCCAGATGTGTCTTTCGTCACCCGCCTGGCAGAAATCATTCACGCAGCCGCCCCGTGCTTGGACAGTGCAAGCGATGCAAGCGGGAAGCAAGCCATCTGGGAGCCCCGCTGCGCATACGAGAACTGGACGTTGCGTGAGCGCAGGCTGGCGATTCTCCGTCCACTCCTGGAGCAGCTCGGGGCTGCTACTGTGGACGGACAGCGTGAAGAAGCTGTTGCCAGACTGGCTGAATTAGAGGCTGTGCTGGACAGGAGGCTGGCCAGCCTTTGGGCGTGGCAAAAAATTGATTTTGGATGGCACTGCGCTTTGACAAGGGCATAGCAACATACGCTCATACTAGGCCTTTGCAGCAATGTTTGGAACATACACTCATACTAGGCCTTTGCAGCAATGTTCAAGACCATCGTACATTGACAGGAGGCCTTAGTCTTGTTCTCTCTCCCTCTCGCTCCTTCCTTCCTTCCTTCCCTCCTTCCTTCCCTCCTTTTGAAACCTGAAAGATTTGTCCAGCGTCTGGAGTCTACAGATCTCAATCTCCATGCTGTTGCTTCTGCTGGTAGAAAAGAGTCCATAGTCGTGCAATCAAGTATAATCCTGCCCACTTTCGAGCAGGACCGTGGAGTTCCCCAGATTTGCTGAATGTCCCTCTTGTGTCGCTCCTCAGTCTCTTCGCTCCGTCTTTCCAGAAATAAGCCACCTGAAACCTGCTCGAAATCGGTTGGAAGCGAACTTCTGTGCGAGGCGGCGGCAGCATGCTGAGCAGATTGCGGAGCTGCAATTAGCATTGGACAAAGCTCAGCGTGCTGCTGAGGAGGCCAGTGCTCAGGTTCAAGCTGCCCTTCATTCTCGGCGCTCTCCGCATGAAGTCCGTGTGGAGCCTGCCCTGGGTGGTGCTAGCAAGAGCGGTGTTCCATTTGGCCAAAGTTTGCCAAATGCTGCATCTCTGGACACGCCTGCGGAGCTGTTACGAAACATTCGACAGCAACGCGGCTTGGACATCGACTACAGCGCCGTGCCGCCAGAAGTTCTGCAGAGTGCAAGTGCCATGCAGCGCAGCATTGGTGCTGCCGTGGAGCGTCTGGCCATCGACCTCTATGCCTCAAAAGGGCATTTTCTCTTGGAGCTGATCCAGAACGCTGATGACAATCGCTATGACGACCGAGGCCAGTGACGGTTGTATGATGCGTGTGGTTGGAGTGCGGGTGGGTGCCCGTGCGGGTAATTCTCTGCTAGTTTAATTTTTTTGGGTTTCTACTTGGACTTTTCCCTCAAGGTTTTTTGCGGTTTGGGCTTGGTTTTTTGGGGAAGAAGGGGCGCAAAATTTCAGGTTTCTGGAAAGTTTGGGCTTCGGTTGGTTTCGGGGAAGGCGGGTGAGCATCAGCCCGTGAGCATCAGAGCATCAGCTGGCAAAGCCCGTGAGCATCAGCCGGCAAAGCACGCACATCATGAGCATGAGCTGGCAAAGCCCGTCAGCATCAGCCGGCACAGCCCGCGCATCATGAGCATCAGCTGGCGAAGCCCATGAGCATCAGCCGGCAAAGCCAAGCCCGCGCATCATGAGCATCAGCTGGCAAAGCCCGTGAGCATCAGCCGGCAAAGCACGCGCATCATGAGCATCAGCTGGCGAAGCCCGTTCAGCCGGCAAAGCACGCGAATCATGAGCATCAGCTGGCAAAGCCCGTGAGCATCAGCCGGCAAGCCCGCGCATCATGAGCATCAGCTGGCGAAGCCCGTGAGCATCAGCCGGCAAAGCACGCACATCCTGAGCATCAGCTGAGGAAGCCCGTGAGCATCAGCCGGCAAGCCCGCGCATCATGAGCATCAGCTGGCGAAGCCCGTGAGCATCAGCCGGCAAAGCACGCACATCATGAGCATCAGCTGACGAAGCCCGTGAGCATCAGAGGGCAAAGCCCTGTGCATCATGAGCATCAGCCGGCAACACCCCTGCATCATGAGCTTGCCAACCCCGTGGGCAAAGCCCGAGCATCATGAGCATCAGCTGGCAAAGCTCGTCAGCATGTATAGTTTCCAGCTCTTCTCGTCATTCTCCGTTGTTGGAAAGCGTTCGTTTTCCAGCAGTTGTCGTCATTTTCCGGGATTGGCAGGTGGTTCCTTTCACCATGACTACGTCCAGCATCCATGCCTGTGCGATGATGACGTCCATGCTTCCAGTACGAGTGCGTGCAAATTCAACCCTAGACCGTGCAAAATAACACTAAACACTCAACCCCAACCCGGGTTCATCAGACTCCATGCAAGCTCCACGCAACAGGCCCAGGTTTAGGAGTTTAACCATTACAAAACTACTAGCTCTATGGTGCGTAGACGGCCATGGTGCTTTAGGCACAGTCCACGAGCGATACCTTTGCATCAGCACTGACATTGCCAGTATGTTGGGGCATGCACGCAAAAGGCATGAGCGCTCACGTCTGACTCCAAAACGACGCCATATGTTGGCAGCCGCTGTAAATAGCAGTGTTTAGGTATGTTTGCAAAAAGGCAAGAACACTTGTGGGAGCGTCTTACCTTAAAACCGTCAAACACCCTTGCGCAGCATCATGTACAAAGCACGAATGGACTTGATTATCCAACCTCCCCCAACCCCCCACCCGCCTAACCCAGAAAATGCATGAAATGTGCTTAAAACACCGGCCGTCTACGCACTGTGGTCCAGCCACTTCTATGTAGTCTGAGACCCTTCCGTTCGCTTCTGAAGACCAAGCTCTCCAGCATACACCTGCAGGAACTAACTCTGGGTTCAATTCCTTTCATGCCCTGGAAAGTTCGGACCCTGCCCCGACGCACCTTCGTCAAGTTGCCTCGGAGCCTCTTTTTTGAGAGATGTTCCATATCGAGCACTCGCGACACTGCAGGCAGCGAGCCGTCAATGACTTTGCACTTGGGAGCCGCCGAGGAGACCCGTAAGCCCGTAAGCTGCGCTTTTTTTTGCCTCTTGCGCCCCTCTGCAGCTTCGAGCTTCCGTGGGTTGATGTCGGTTGTGGCACCTCAGGGCGCAACCTTACACCCGTGAGTAGTTCATGAGCACTTCATGAGCGCTTTGCAAGAGCAAACGAAGTAAGTCATGATGGGCAATCTGCGTACAGCAGCCAATAGTCTTGCCAAGCCAGATCTCCATGAGTTTTTTTTCTATTTGGAGTTGCTGGCGTTTCAGTAGGAAGCAGTGGGACATGCAAAATCAAACCAAAAGCAGGTGGTGGAACACTGCTGGGTTTTGTTGCAGAGGGACAGCTTGTGATGGCTTCATGTGTCAGTACGAAGAGTTCGCAGCATGCATCGGCTTCGTTGTGAAGCTTGCCATCCTGACCTGTGCCGGCTGAATTTTTCATTCTCACAAGTAGCGTCATAGTGTGCAGGATGCAGTGACGACATGCCGGCGAAATTTTCTAAGAAGTTGAGCGCATCATGCGACTCGGTTGGTGAAGTCGACTTGGATGAGCCCAGTGAATCGACCCCGCTTCCCAAGGAGAAGAAAGGGGCAAAGAACGCAACTCCAGCAAAGCGTCCGGCGGAGAAGCGTGTGAAAAAGGATGTCAACGAGGAAGCTGCCTCTGACAAGAAGCCGAAGCGCGCCAAGAAGGCAAAGGAAGGTCCTTACACTAGCTTTAAGGAGCAGGGCTCCATTCCTGAGCCACAAATGCAGAGACGAGTCGAGGATCTGCCGGAGGGCAAGTGTGCTTTGAATGTACTGTCTTGGAACGTTGGTAGCTTGAGGGCCTTCCTGAAATCGCGCATCGCGGACCTGCAGGAAGCTGTGAAGCAAGGAGCCCCGCACGTGCTCGGAATCATTGAGCACAAGCTGCAAGACGGCACTGCTGATACAGAGAATGCTTTGGAGGAGCTCTCCAAGGCACTTCCAGACTACCGCGTCGCTTGTGTGAACTACTCGAAGGTCAAGAAGGGCTACTCCGGTACGCTGGTCATGCTCCACAAGGACGCACCCGAGCCGATCAGCCTGGCTGCCGAGGATCTGCCGGCTGCTGCTGACGAGGGCCGGTTGGTGGTCTGCGAATTCTCCTCCGTGTTCGTGGTGCTGTGCTATGTTCCGAACTCTGGCGATGGGCTCAAGCGCTTGAGCGATCGCGTGGAGAAGTGGGATCCGCAGCTGCGGGATCGATTGCACGCACTTCTGAAGAAGAAGAGTGTCGTCCTCATGGGCGACTTGAATGTGGCCCATCAGGACAAGGATATCTGGAACGCCGAGGCGCCTCACGTTCCGAAGAGCGCCGGCTTGACTGCCGAGGAGCGGGAATCCTTCTCCAAGCTACTGGAGAGTGGCTTCAAGGCGGCTGGGTGCTCATGATGCAGTAATTATGTCTCAGTAGGGCATCCCCCCTCGGAAAGAGCAGCCCCCTTTTCTTCTCTTGTCCAGGACGGCTTTGCGGTACACCATCCCGAGGCCAGGACATCTACTCGCGGCATGTGCTAGCAGTCGAGGTAGCGACATCTTGTACGTGACTTGTACATGAGAAGAGTTACTCCAATGGTCTTCAAAAAGAAATGCCCCGCGTGACCAGGCATTCGGCGCCTTCACTTACTGGAGTGTGCGAGCCGGCAACCGGAAAACAAACCGAGGCCTAGGGCATGGCTAACATCGACGTTTGCAAGTGGGGCAGCCCTCAACATCCCCCTAAACCCTAAACCCTAAACCCTAAACCCTAAACCCTAAACCCTAAAACCTAAACCCCTAAAATATCCCCGTTTTCGGGGCTTCTTCGCTTCTTTGATGTTTCGGCGCCGCTTTGGAGGCCTCCGGCTGGACTATGTCCTGGTGTCTGAAGAGATGACGTCCGGAAGCGAGAGTAAGGCCCGGCCTTTCGCCTTCGCGGATCAGGTTGCATCCAGCAGTCTGGCTCTTTGCGTTTTCGAAAGCCGGCGGCCAGGATGGACCTGCACTTTGGGATGCTTTCCACCTACCAGCGGTGGCAACAGGGGATCACTGCCCAGTCGGTGCCGTCATTGCCGTGCCTCGGAGACGAGCAGCTTGCACAGAGCCGTCATAGCAGTGCCACATGACTAAGTCTTAGTTCTTTGGCATCGAAGAGTCTGGATGAATGCATTCTGCGTGCCAGCTCCGATTGAGGTGTGATGTCCCAGAAGCGTGCATGCCACCAGCCCACCGAGCACGACAAGTGCGATGATGCCCTCTTTTGCAGAGCTCCTGCTGTAATTAGACCGCGGGGTCTTGCAAATCGTCAAGGTGCAGCGTGGCGGGTCGAATGCGACCGTGTCCATGATCAGACCTGGGCATGTTCACGTGGCAGCCAAGCTGATCCAGATTCCGGGTCATCTTTGCTCTAGCACCCCCGTTTAGTGCTCGGATTTGGTCCTCCCTCCCATGCTTGATCCAGGGGGACCGTATGCGCAAAAAGCATACATGGGTAGTTTCACAAGCATCGGCTCGGCTGATGTGTTGTGGAAAGCGAAAAAGCTGGGCAAGCTGGGGGCTCCTCAGCAGGATGCGAGGTTCTGAGCATGAAGGGAGCTACTTCAAGACTTCAAGACTTCAAGACTGGCAGGACTCCTCCTTGTTCTTCTCGTCGGTCAACAACGAGAGCTTTGATTGCAGCAGCACGCAGTAATACGTAGTACTTTTTAAGTGCCGGGGCTGCAAGTTTACGCGAGTAGCGTGTTTTGACCGCGTTGAATGCGTTTTTTCGCCCGCTCAATGCAGGATGGGCATGACGGGCAAGGACGTCGAGGCCTTGTGCGACATCAACAGGCACTGCAGGGGGTTTCCTCTGATCTCCGATGGTGTGGAAGTGTGTGGAACATTCGGACGGGCTGTTTGCGGTCTTTTTTGTTGCAGTGTATTTGAAGCAAGCAAAGGACTCCAGGCAAAGGCAGAGAGCTCAACTGCCGAATGCATGATGGTCCCATCGAAGCAGTGGAGCTGCTTTTATGGAAGTGTCGCGATTTGGGGCAGGTCCACCAAGCCGTCACAGGCCCAATGACCTGGGATGATGGTGACGTGCAGCACATGTCTCCAAGCGATGCTGAGCCATTCTGAACCTAGCAGCTTTCCAGGGCGGGAAGATTGGCAAGAAGGGTGTTGGCCAGATGCTGATTTCGAGAATATTGCGATCTTCAAAGTCTTTCGGCTCTCGTGTCGCAAGGCTGGAAGGCGGTCTTTGCAGTGAGCGACCAGCCAACTGCGGTGCCCTTACTGTGGTGTTCGAAGGTATGCGGTCATCGCATTCATGCCTATGCAAAGGCTGCCGAACAGCAGCTCAGGTTCTGTCCGGGCAGTTCTGCTTTCGGTTCGACGCAGCTTGCCCAGCTTCTTTCCCGGCAGGTTGGAGAGCGCAGAAATTTGACCGGGTAGCACTGGGAGTCCTCTGGAAGCAGTGAAACCCGAGGTGCGTTGCCGCGGCCGTTTGGGCTATGTAACGCCTGATGATCTGAGTTTCAAGCTCAGCTTGCTGGGCTGCAAAACTGCTCTCGCGGTTCGGCCATGATGGCGATGTCAGAAGAGCCCCTTGTCAGCTTGCTTCTTACATTTCTTGCACAGCCAGCACAGCAAGGTGAGCAGGAGTACGCTATGCTACCACCATTTCTCCAACAGGCCTCTGATGCTGCCTGAGCTTGTGTGGGGTCAGCCCCCAAAGTTGCGGCGTAAGTTTTTCTCAGGGGTGAGGGGTCACCGTCGGCAAATTCAAGTCACGGTGCACGAGCGACATGTTTGATGTGACCATAGCACTTCCCCAACAGTCTTTACATTCTGACATCGTGCATCATGCAAGCTTCACCTTGCCTTCTACCTGATGTCATGTCAGTCGCTAGGATCCTAAACACAACTGAGCACCTGCCTCTGCTAAGACGAGTTACAATGTGGCAGTGGCATTTCAGAGAAGAGATGTTCAAATTCCGAGTTTTGGCGGACGACTAGCTGCTGCTGGTTGGTGTGACTTGAAGCCTAAAGGCCTAATGCTACTAGTATCGGCTGTTTGTTCTTGTGCGCAGGCAAGAAGCAATGGAGGAGCAGCCTGTGCCTAAGCTATGCCAAGCTGCACCACCTGGCTTTCAAAAGTGTATATAACCATCAGGCCACGGTCTTGTACCTACCCCTCCGTGGCCGCCCTGCGACGGAAGATGGACCGCGGCTGAAATCTTTTCAGTTTGGCAACTTAGCGACGCGCTGAGCAATCCGCTCAGCGGTGCTCAACCGCAGGAGCCGCTGCAGACGTGGGGGACGGAGGCATTCCCCAGCTTTCGCGCTTTCCGTGGCTTTCGCCGTGAAGCGGTCATGCAGGACTTGGAATTGCAGCTTTAATACGAAGCTCAATGGACAGACTGCTGACGTGCTACGGGTTGGGGGAGTCTTGCCGAGTACTCACTGTGTGCATGTGTGTGCTTGTGATGGGGCCGGTGTGATACAGCTTTGGTGCAGGTACCCAGCCTGGCTACTTTTCCTGCGACAGCTCCGCCGCATAGTGAGGAACTCAACTCATTGGGCAAGGGACTGCTCAGCATGCAGTGCGGAGCCGCGGAAAGCGTGCGCCCCGTTCGGGGATGTGCCACTTGACACGGTGTTTGCTTCGCTCAATTTCGCTCATATTCACAGTGCTTCCCCAAGCATCCCCAAAGGCATCTCGACAAAAGACAGATTCACGCATTTGGCATGTTCAGAACATGTGATAAACAGGTACAAAACGTGAGCAGCTTGGTTAGTTTGTTGGCCTGGTACCTCCTTTTGAAATCTTGCGAGTTGGGGACGACCTGGAAGAACATGAGACACCAAGCAGAGCAATCTTGTATCAGATGATTGTAGTCTGCAAGTAGGCAAACAGCTGTGCTTGGCGCTCGGATGCGGTTCTTCGGCGCGATGGAAATGGGGGGGTTGGCATGGGCTGAGAGTCCTAGAGATCCTTGTGGCCCCCGAAACCCTAAACCCTACGGCCACTCTGTGGCCATTACTGAGGTGTAACTCTAACCAGTACTGGGGTGGTGACGTCCAGCTTCTTTTGTAACATTCGATCCTTGACCGGCGAGAATGCCATGTGGGTTTGCGTGAGAGTGTTTTACCTAGCCTCCTGAACCCTAAACCCTAAACCCTAAACTCTAAACCCTAGCGCTTCTGTATGTACGTAGGGGGGAAGTCAACGATCAGCTGGATCCAGTTGTACAGAGTCGCCTGTATTCGCCTGTCGACGTCGAAGTCATGACCATTCTCATGAGGTATGAACTGACAGGTCATCCTTGGGGAGGAGTTTTGGGTAGTGGAGTTGAGACCTGTGGATCTCAGGCTTGGGACGATGCAGTGTCGGCGAGGTGCGGTGTCAGCATGGCGAGTGGAGATAAATCCTTGCACGGCCCCCCTTTCTCAGACCACAGCACGTCTTGCTTGAACGGCCCGGGCCTTGGGGATGTGGGTTGCAAAAGAGGCCCGGGCATCGTTTGGTTGCAGTGCTCGGGTTGAGGCATGGCGACTCCGTGACTGTTCGGCACCTGGAAGGTGCAGGCGCCACACTTGACATCACCAGTGTAGATAGTGAAAAAACAGCTCGGGCAAAATTGCTGCATTTGCAGACTGAGTCGCAGCAGGCATAGCCAAGCCAGAGGAGGCTGGGCTCTGTCCACGACCTCTGGAGGGCCGCTGCACTGCCACTTCAGCGGGTTCCTCGCAAGTTGGCGCAGGAGTTCGCTTTCTTAGTCCATCGGAAGAGTGGCGCTCGCCCCCTGGTCACCCGGGGTTGCCCTCGGTCTCTGATCTGCTTGAGAGTGCTCAAGGGACCCTTGAGCGAAAAGGGGGTTCGTGTGAAGTAGTGGGTTTCGCTGTGGCTTCAGGTGGTGCCGAGCGACCTGCTCCCGGCTGGTGCAGAGCCTGGGAGCCGACTGGAGGAGGTGTGTTTTTGTTTTGCGGCTCAGGAAGGGATGTTTTTCAGGGACCCGTTTCACAGGGATGCTTCAGGGACCTGTTGAGAGGGATGTCTTGTCGGAATGTACACGCCATGCCGAGGGAGTGCATCTGAGCATTTTGTTGCGAGCATTCGCTCGGACAGTCTGCGAAGGTGGTTATCGCTTTCCAGCCCAGTGCGGCCCTGTTCCAAGCCACGGGATTTCCAAGCCAGCCAAGTATAAAATATTCCAGTTGCGCAGCAATGTGCAGTGCAGTAGTGTCAGAAGGCTGAGCATCATTCTGAGAGAGGGGGTCCTATTCTGAGAGAGGGGGGCCTATTAAGCCACGCAAGGTGCAAGATCACGGTGCAGAGGCCCTGGCGAGCGACGGCCGGGCCGATACAGCAGACAGAGAGTCGGCCCGAGCGGATCCAGTGTTCTGCTTTTTGCCTGTTCGGCCGGTGGGTTTCCGATTCTCCTTACATGCGCCGTGGTCACTGACATCAAACCGAGAGGACTTCCATCTGGAAGATCCTCGGAATGTGTGGCTGCGGGGGGTGGCTGCTGAAGCTTTGGCCGAAGCGATCGGCCGCTTTGGCAGCGAGCCTGGGACGAACGTGCTTGCGCTGTTAGATTCCAGGCGTGTGCTCGAGCCGTTTTGGAGACGATTGCTGGAGCAAGCAGTTGAACGAATTGGCGATGCTCCCGTGGTAGCCGTCATGGGTGAGTCGAAGCTTTACAGGCCATCGGAGGTGTTGGTGCCAACACCTTCGTTGGTGCGATGCCCTGCTGCCATGAAGTTCATTCGTGCTCTACCCACGGACTCGTGGTCTGTGGCAACAGGCAAGCGGCTGGCAAGGCTTGGCAACAATGAGGACGTGGCCGTGGAAGATGCCCGCCGGCTCATGTCGCTCCATGCTGAGCCCCTCTCCGCACAGAAGCTGCGGGCCTTGCTGAACAGTGACGTAGTCAAAATGGAGCTGGGCAGACACTGCAGATCCCGCAATGCCCTGGGGCTTACGCAGCTTTGTGAGCTGCTGGGAGCCTTGCTGGCAGCCGCACAGCGTGAGCCCGAGAAGGTGCCATCATTCTCGGACACCGGCGAGCTTCCAGGCAGCTTGACTGCAGAATGCTCGCTTTGTGTTTTTGACTTCTGCAGTGGGATGCAGTGGGTAACATCTGCAAAAAAAACCATACGTCATCAGGAGAGGAAAGATTGCTGGATGTCGTGGCGGAGATCCAGCAGATGCAGGTCTGTGGTTGAGACTTCCGCGGTAGATTTAGAGAGCTGCTGAGAGGGCGAGACCATGCAGGTGCTTCCCCTGGAGACAGCAGGAGGAGGAGGAGGAGTGCTGTCCCCAACACGACTCAGAGCTGCTTAGCTCGACTCTTTTCATGCTCTGCCAAGTGTTCCAAGGCCCCTATGCTGACCAGTCTGGCAGATGGAGACATCTACCTGCCCAGCTCAGGGAGCTCAGGCTCGGAGGCTCAGGAGAGAGACCCTGTGGAAGTGCGAAAGCCCAGGGACTCCATGCGCCAAGGACCCTGGTGTCCTGGCCTCGACGAGGCGTCGCCGGCACGAGCGCAAACGAGCGCCCCCCCGCCCCTCCCAAGTGGCCACAGCGGAGCTGCGTTCGCACGTCACTCAACAAAGTACACGCCTGGACTTTGCTTCTACGCACTCAGTTCGCGTAATCAGCAAAGCAGGCCACGGCATCGGCTCTCCTGGCGCACAAAGATGTGCGAGCAGAGCCCTTGGCATTCGCGAGTTGGGCAAGCAAACTACAGTAGGCTCTACGCTTGCTTTCGCCTGCAAGCACAGCTCAACATGTCCGAAGGTGCTGGACAGTTCGTCTTGGCATTCGTTGTCGAGCGGTGGCCAGAGCTTTTTACGACAGCCGCCGCCTCACCAAAAGAGAGCCGAACTCGCAGTGGATCTCGCTGGAGCGCTGGTAGAGTCTGGTAGAACTTCCGATATCTTCCGCTTCCTTGCGAACACCTCAAACCCAGGCTTGGCGTGCGGCAGGCCGGGGAGTTGGCAGACCCTTTTGCCCATTCCGATGCTGAGATCTGATTCCTCGAGAATTGCTTGCACTTCCGTACTAGAACTATGTTGTATGTGCAGTTTATTGTTTGTCCGGCTGTTCTTGGAACGTCATGTCATGTGAGCATGGATTTTGTTGAGACGTTCAGCGGTTTGGGGGAGGCTGTGCTCATGGAGGTGGCTGCCACAGTCGTTCGTCCGGGGCTTGGCTTCCTATGCCATGAAGCCCAGACCGTAGACCAACGAGTTCCAATGGCACAGTCCGTTGCATGTTTTCCAGGGGTCCACGCGCTGAACTTGGCAGAGTCTGTGGGGATGCAAAGCTTCAGCTCCGGGCTCAGCAGCACGCTATAGCACACTCAGAAGCCCTTTCTGTACTACTCTCTTTATGCTCTGCCTTCACCAACCTCTGTCTCAAGACCTTTGACCCGAGGCGGCACCTTCGCAAGGCCAATCACCCCGACACCTCAGAACGACGAGGCCACTGGCGGTTTTGGAAGCAGTTGTGGAATGTTGCGGAATCTTGTAGGCTTGTTGGACTTGATGTTCTTGTCTACAGCTCCCATTGAGGAGCGCGAACTCGCGGTGCTCTGGGCGGGCCTTGACGTTGTCCGCATGGCCTCCCAGACTGCCCGTGTCATGTCTGCCTGCATGAGCGGTCTGAGTGGTGACATGGGGGTTTACGAAAAATAGGGGACCCTTCATATGGACCCCCAAATGGTAGGCTTCCTTTTTCATAAGGACCTCAATAAGGTACCCCCAATTTCGGAACCCCCACATGTATCACATGTGAGGCGTGGCCCGAGAGCAGTGCCTCGACTCTGCCCGACTTGGCGCTGGCAAGGCAAGTGCCAAAGCCTCCTTGGTTGGTTCCTTTCTTGCTACAAAACACATCAAACCACATGTAGACTGTCAACAATAAGAACTAAGGGGGTATCTACGGTTTAGGTTTCAAGGTTAGGTGCACATTTCACAAGGCACGATTCCCTGCACAGGCATCGGGCCAGCAGAAGGACAACGATGCCAGCATGCCCCCGACCTAAGTGCTCCGTGTCACAGGGAGAGGCTCCCCGAATAACAAGCCAAGAAGCACACAACAAAGGTTTTCTTTTTCATGTTAGCCTGAGGCTGGATCCCGCTCTTTGCTTCGCGCCGGTCTTCCGCAGGATCCTCAGCTTTGGGTTCCAGCGACTGCCGGGTCAAGAACGCAACATGTCACAAGCATCATGCAGCATGTCACATGCGGTCATCAATGCAGGGCGCAATGAGACGAGCCTGCAAATTGGTGCAGCCGTGCGGCCCCCGGTCTGGGATCCGAGGTCGGAATTGTAAGTTGATTGCTGGACTCCTCAGACACTGCGTGTGCTGCGCTTGCAGGAACTGAGCCATGTCTTGTGGCTTCCAACTCGGTCGGTCATGCCGCAGCGCTTGCAGCTTGCTGTGTTCAGTTGTCTTCGTATCATGCCCCGTGTTTTGCCTCCGTTGTGCCAGGCCGCCGGCCACGTTTGGCTTCGACGCGGGAGAGATTTGATTCTTCCGACCTTCATGGGCCGCGCCCCTAGGAGCAGAGAAACAGGTGCTGACATGTTGTTTACTCGGGAGCTTCGTGAGGCCTCACAGCCAGCGAGCCAACAAAAGCACGAGGTGTCCTGGAGGAGTGTCTTGTTGTCTTGTTGCCACATGGGCCGAGACCCGGGAGAGCCCTGGTCCTGAAAGGAGCACGTGGATGAGGAGGATGTTGGGGATGTGGAGGTGTTATGCGGAACCGTGCATTTGCCCCTGAAGTCTGTCACGAGACCTAGGTCTTCAGCAATTTGCTCTGGGCTTCTTTTACGCTCTTGTTTGTGGGAACATCGGAAAATGCCTTCGAGCCATCGAATGGAAAAAGCTTCGCGAGAGGCATCTGAGGTCCATTTCCCATCATCTCCCCCCTGAGCTCTTCGACCCTCCCGATTTAGACTTCTCCCGGCATGAAGCTTTTCGGCCTTCTTGTTCGGCCCCTGCTGCCTCCTGCGGTCTGCACTGTAAGACGTAGGACGCCCTGAGTCTGCTTTCTACAGTTTTCTACCTTCGTGCCAGCTGAGCTTTTGACAGGGATTGGCCCCCCTCCCCCGTGTTTAAAGTATGCAGGTATCGGGAATGCCAGGGTTCCGGCAGATGGATATGTACCTGCTCCTCTTGTTGCACCGGTCTGCTGTTAGTGATCCAGCTGCCAACTTGTCAACTTGTCAAGTTGTCACTTGTGCTTTGTTGGCCGTAGAAGCTTGTGTGTGCGAGGGGACGGTGCTAGCGCCGCCGCCCTCTGGGCCGATAGCTGAGATCACAGAACTTCTCGGAACACCAGAGAACGAAAGAAGCCACCGAACGTTGTGCCCGTGCTGCGAGTGTGTTGTGCTGTCTGCGTGCCACCCTACGTACGAAACTTGAGGCAGCCTACCGGCCTCCGCCATGTGGCATCAACCTCAGCTGGAACTTCACTTTGATCGTATGTTGGTATGTTGTGAAGCGAAAGGGTCTCGAGTTGGAAAACTTATGGTGTCTTTCACTGCACACCTAGCAGCTGGCGTTTGGATTTGTTGGTGGATCTTGGTGGTTTGGTTCTGAAATGTTGGGTGCCAAGAAGTCCCGCACTGTTCAGTAAAATCGTTTGCTGTCCTCGTACAGGATGATGGATGATCACACTGTGAAGTGGCTTACTGCGTGTGCACGCAAAGTTTTTTGGCATCTTATGGCTGTTGAGTCGTTTTTTTTGGTGATCTTGTGCAGGTCGCTGTCCCTGATGACGGCCAGGCATGCCGGCCATGTTGCAGTCATTGCGAGCTTCGGTGCGCTCACATGAGCTCAAAACTCTGATACGATGCTGTGTAACTTCAACTTACACAGCGTCTATAATTCCTATGAAGGACTGTTAGTATAAGTGGGAACATCCCAATTGGGGGGGGGGATGAACTAAGATCTTCAGGTTGGTGGGTGGAGCGAGTGCCTTCTCTTGCGTGGGGGCTCAGTGTGTCTCGAGTCTTGGGGAGGCGCAGAGATCTTGTAGCATCCCACTATGGAGAGCCGACATGCATGCAAAGAACATGGAGGTGATTTGGGAGTGATGCCAGGTTGCTGAAGTCTTCCTACATGCACATGGTACATTCATGTTTGTGTCAGCGCCTGATGGACACACGTGGAGCGTGCCAAGGCGAGAAGCTTTTCTGACCGAGCTTGGCTGTGTCTGTGCCTTGTATGTGCAAGGGCAGGCTGCCAACGTGATGAAATGACTGCCAATGGCTGCTCCCGGCATGCACCCATGATATCTGAGGCTCAACCGGGAATCGAAAATCTGCCTCTTGACCGAGTAGCAGTGACTCGGCCACAGTCTTGCCCGAGTCTGACCAAACTATCCAATGCCGAACCCACGGATCCCACGCCCGATCCGAAACCCCTTCCCCCCTCCCTCCCCTCCCCCTGGAACCCCCTCACTGGACCCCGCGAAAGCTGAACTGGTTTGGGCTCAATCGAATCGCAAGATGTCTGTTTCAGAACCCAAAGAGGCAGCATCGAAACGGCCACTGTTGCACGTTGCAAGGAGCGCCTGGTCTCTCGTCGGCTTTGGGAGGCCAACCGTGGGGTCCGGGAAGACCGCAGGTAACCCAAGCCTTAAGCAAGAGTAAGCTGAGTGGAACCGACGTGCAGACGCATGAAGGGATCGCGGACTTTATGATGAGCCTGCGAGTCCAAATGCATCCCTGGAGAAGCACTGTAGTTTTTCTCAGACACGGTGCCTCACAGCATGGAAACTTATGACCGGGCTGCATGCGGTTGTGTCGCTTTTGCGAGTCACCTTGCCAAGCGCTGTTCTAGGCGCTAGCCAAGTCAGCTGAGCTGCGGAGACATGTGGGATGCTCGGTTTCCAGCGGCAATTTTTGAAGAACTCGGGCTCATGTGGTTTGTGCGCATCGCGCTGAGAGGGTGGGGCATTGAGGCAGCTCGTGTCTTCCGCGAAAACCATGGCTGGCTGCCCGACTTGGAGGCCTGCTGCCAACCATTGTAAGACGTCTTAAGAATTGAATTCTTAAGAATTCTTAACTGGAAGCTCTGGTTTCGCGAGTAGTGATTTCATGTTTGCTGGAGCACGAAAGGGACGTTCCTGCCTTGTTATCAGAAGCAGGTTTTCTTGGGTGGCGCGAAGCTTGCCGCGTTGTTGTGGTTCGTCCGAACGGTAGCCACCTATGCCAGCAGAACTTTGGAGTTGCAAGCTCAACTGGCAGCCAGATTGTGAAGCGCTGTCAGCCCAAAGAACAAAAAGATTGTCACTTGGTCTCGCCAGGTCCAGCCACCTCCACATCAGCCAGGTCCAGGATTACTGCATCACCAGTAGCATGCAAGCCAGTGGCGTGGTGGACGGGGTGTCGTCATCGGTTCGTGCAGGTCCGGGCCAGCGCATCAACAGATATTTCCGCCGTGCCGCCTTTGAACCCGTGGTGGGTCAGGTTCTCAAGATTGAAGCACGTTGAGCTGGTAGCTGGGACCCCCTGCTCACGCATGCCTCCTTACAATTTTAGATCTCGTCGTTGACTTGCAGGCGAAGGTGGCCTGGCCTATGTGGATGCAGCAAGCTTAGCTCGTGGGAGGTTGTGTGTTAGAGCTTCTTGCTGAAGAGTTGGAGTTGTCCGCTAAGAAGCTTCGGGAGTCTTTTTTTGTAGGTTTGCATAGTGTTGCCAGATACCTTGCTAGGCCATAGAGCGCCTGTCTGTGTCTTCCGCTAGTGACGCTAGTGTAGTTTTGACTCAGAGACGGAGTCGACATCGAAATTTAGCATTTCCATTGCAGAAGTCCCCAAAAGAACAAGCCGAAGAACTCCCCCGGTCTGCCCAAGCCAGCCTTTCGTTCGAAGGCGGAGCCCAGCTGCCAGGCGCTTCTTGAGCTTCTCAGGCACGTGGGCCCTCTTGTGCCAACCTCTCCTAGGGGGTGCAACTGGCTGGGTTGGCTGGCAGGATCTGGCATGTGGTGGGGTCCTTTTTGGGGGTCCTTCTTCTTCGAGGCATCAAAGGGGCTCGCATGTAGAGAACTGCCCATAAAGGATCCGCTGCACGCCGGATTTCGAGAACCTGGCCGTGGCATTACGTTTCTGGGTGGACAAGGCCCCCTTGGTTGGACCCAGAGGGCGTTGTAGATCGTGGCGGCACCTGGCCACGATACAGGGAAACGTAGAGGGACTCTCGGTTCTTCTGGTGTGTTCAACATACTACCAGTGGTGACAAGGGCATCTTGTGCAAGGACGGCCCCTTCTTGTGGACAGGATTCAGGCAAGCGCTTGAGCCACTGTAGCCAGAGACTGCAGCAAGGAGCCGCCGGCGATGTGCGCACCCAAGGCGCTGGTCACTGCCCGCCCGGCACGCTTTCAAAGCTGGCTGCGCTTGTTTCAGGATCTTCTGGGGTTCTAAGGGGATTCTATGAACAAGTCTATGGGGTTCTAAGGGGGCACTTCGACTTGAAGATGTCCTTGAGCCCTGGGACCCTACAGAGTATCTTCTCGACAAGGCCTTGCTGCAGCGAGCTATTGCCGAGAGGCCCGAGTGTTTGCCGAGTGCAAGCTCCTACTTAGCTGCATGGTGTCGTATTGTGTGGGTATGGTATCTTGGGATTCTTAGGTTGCCTGCTCTGCAGTGGGCCAGATTGAGTCCTGCCCTAGTGGCATCGTCTCGGTAGTGAGTTGACTGGTTTCATTGCTTTTGCATATTCGTAATTGCCTACTTTCATCGTATGTACATGTATGTACCATGTATGCATTGCTCAGAGGAGGTTAGGTGCGAAAGTACTTGTAGCACAAATGCCACGTTGCCCTGAGCACAAGGCCAGCAGACTCTGTGCTTTCAGCTCAGTCGGAATGAAGCTAGTCATTCTCTTCTAACCAGCCCCTTACAAACTCCTCCTCCGCAAGTACACTCTCGAAGTAGTGTCGAGCAAGTGTTTCAGTGTGCCAGGGAGAGCGAGCCCGAACGCAGGGTATCCAATGTGTTGACGTTGCTTGCTCAACGGGCTTGTGACAATGCATGTGAAGCCTCCCCAAAAAGGCACTGCATCCGATTCCATCCTATTGTTGAATTGCGCATTTGTGTGTCTTCAATGACATTGAGGTTGGCCATACTGCGCAACCTGATCTTCGTCCCAGGCCAGACTGGGGTAGGCTGAGAGGTTCATGCGGATCAGTTTTCGTGGCCAGGCAAGGGGACGATTACGGCTCAGCAGGCAGGCTGCGACTCAGGGAACCGTCTGCCGTGCTTCTCCTGTTGCACTTGACAGGCGGTGTGGTCTGCGGGGGGTGTCGACTGCGACTTTGCTCGCAAGGTTTGCGGACTGGAATGTCTGGCATGATTTTCGGGCGCTGCAACTCAAGAGAGATTCCGAAATCAAATGTCTTGTCAAAGTAGCGCCAGGCTGGCACTTCAATGCTGGAGGCACGATTGAAACCACCGAAGCTGTTGAACCTGCACATCTGTTTTGGGGGCATGAGGAGATCTATGGACAATCGCTGCCGGATGCCTGGACGTGGAGTTTGGAGTTCTTAGGCTTAGACCTCGCTGCGAATGGGCTCGGCAGAAGATATCCCTCACTCTTCGATGGCTTGGGCTTGAACTCTACCACAAGGGCGTGTTACCGCGACCATTTCTTGAATGACGATTCAACAGAGCAACTCTTGGCTCAACAAGTCTTTGGTTCCCGACTGGTTCCCACCTCCTTTCCATGATGGATGCTGGCACTGTCGCCGGGTCGTCCGTCACCTTGCCCTACTGCACCTCCACAAGCATGTCGCAGAACGGGGGTTCAATTGCTGGTTGCGCTGATGGCGATACCTTCTTTGGCAAGTCCGTGACTGCTGAGGATGGATCCGTGACTGCTGAGGATGGATCTTTGTGGCTCTCGAACGAGTCCAACAGGCTCTTTTTGCCTTTGACGCATCCGCAAACAAAAGACCCGATGTTTGAGCGGGTGTGTTGGGAATGCGCTAATGGCAACGTGATGGGCAGGAAGACCCCTAACATCTCCGATGTGTCTGAGACCCGCAGAAAGACAGGTGAGACGATTTCGGCTTTGCCTGTCTCGGAGCACCCTGGTTGGTTGATGGAGGCTGGCAGCAAGTTGTATTTTCCAAAGAACCACCCACGCACCGGTGTCTTCCTTTGACCAGACGACGGTCCAATGTTGCAACACGCACGCGACATCCAGCAGCGTGGTGGTGGGTTCAGTGGCGCCAGCTTCCTCCATGACCAAGTGATGGCAGACCGCTGGGGAGTAACATTGAGGAACTTAGTGAAGTTTTTCGCAACCGTGGAGGAAAAGTTCTGTTCTGGATCCTTGCAAAATGTTGGCAGGCCGTACGATGAGTCAAAGTTTCAGAGCAGTTCGGTTGGCCCGAACATGTACCAGGTGAATGAGCAGGTGATTATTCCAGCCACAGCAGACCCTTCGCTTGCATTTCCCGGCTTGAGCTGGGCTTTGTGTGGTTATCCGGTTGGGACGCGCGTGGCTCATCTTGTCACGCACGCCTGGGCAGAAGGTGTGTTTGAGTTTAGGTTCTCCCTGATGCAGGCGTGGGCCCATGATGAAGTGAATGCTGCTGCATACATCCACCACCGACAGCATCCCTAAGAGCCCTTTGCCAGAACGAGCTTCTGTATGCCGCTGTGCTCATGCCCATGGAGCTCCACTTCGTGCATTGACTGGCAAGCAGCTGGGTGCTGTAAATGTCGAGCTCCCGTGGCTTGACCCTGAGCAGAAACTTCGCAGCTGCCGATCAAGTGTGCTTCCTGTCCAACCCTCAGAATCTGGACATCGCAACTCGCAACCATGCTGTCCAGATCTGTCCAGTATCGCAACATCGCCTTTCCATGTCGACTTGCAGAGCATGCCAGCACACGGCAGCATGATCATGGTTGCAACAGAAAACACTCCAATTCACACGCGCCTGTGGTGCGTTTTTGAAGCCCACATGGCTCAGGGCCATCGCATTCCGATTACCTTGGTTGGCTGTCCAGCTAGCCTCGCCGCTGACTGCTCTGCAGTGGTTCGCCGCATTGAGGCCGAAGCCAGCTTTGCGGTCCAGGCAGACAATTTTGTTGCCGGTGCTCCGCCTGATGCTTGTGACAGCTGCTGTCCCTCCCTGAAAGGGCGGCGTGAGGCCGCTTGGGCAGCGCAGGAAGAGAAGTGGCGTCGAAGCACTCCAGAGCAACTGTGTGCTCAACTGGTGGCATTTTGCGCCATGATGATTTGCATGAGCGGCGTGGTGATCGGAGTGCTTGTGTGGGCGGCAACCTGCGCCAAGGTCTCGGTTCACCAAGGCCAGCGACAGAGCCATGATGACATGGGCGAAACCCCCGCATCTTGTGAGGACTTTATCCTAATTGTCCCTCAGCTGCGAAGACTAGCTCAGGGAGTCTTTGCGAGGGTTTCAATTGAGTTTAACGAGTGCATTTAGTCTAGTTTGAAGGCTGCGTCGCTGCTGCTGCGCAACGTTTTAGTCCAAATGCGCAGAGGGGCTGCGCTAGCAGCTGCAGAAACCTCACAATAGGCTGCAGCCGTTCCGCAGCTCGAGATGTGGCGAATCTGGCGGGAGGCACATGGTTTTGAGCCGCGCGACCCATCCGGTGAAGAAAGGTGGCGCTGAGTGAATGTTCTCTCCAAGTCATGTCTTAGGACGCTCATGTTATGCCAAGCAGAATTCCGTCCTTTCTAGATGATTTGAAGGCCTAGAAGTCCGTCTTATGACTCTAGTGGACAAGGAATAGCTTTTCTATCATTCGGATTGCCCATGACATTAGTTAGATTCCGAGTGAAGTGCTCTGTTCAATCAGCAAATGAAAGTAATGCAACAATCGGGTCAACAGGCTGTTACATTATCAAGTAGCGAATCCGAGGTTGGGGCCTTTTCCCTTCATGTTTCCATCATTTGGAGCCGCTATCATCCTAGAAGCCGTATCAAGGATGGGAAAGTGAACAAAGCTTGGTATCATATGACTTCTGATGCTGTGCCACAGCTTGAGGCGCGGTTGGTTCTGCGACTTCTTGTCTGTGCGGGAGTCGCCTGGCCTGCCGGCAGACCCAGAGAAGATCCTCGAAGATCCCGTGTGCAATCTGCCGTCGGACATGGGGGTTTGCGATAGTAAGGGGCCCCTGATATAGACCCCCAAGTAGTAGGATCCCCGTATAATCCCCCAAGTAGTAGGATCCCCGTATAGTAAGGACCCCAAAAAGGCCCCTAATCTAGCATGGGAGTGATTGGAGTGGAGGGAGTGCGCCCGGAAAGTGTCTTGGAAGCATCTTGGACATTCTGAAGCTTGAGGTGGCAGCTGCTGCAAGCGTTGCAGAGGCAACGGGAAGCGCCGGGGGAATGGTGGGAGACACTTCTGTTTTCTTGTGTGTCTGCTCCCTTTGCGTGTCGAGTAAACCCTAAACCCTAAGCCCTAAGCCCTAAGCCCTAAGCCCTAAGCCTTAAGCCCTAAGCCCTAAGCCCTAAGCCCTAAGCCCTAAGCCTTAAACCCTAAACCCTAAACCCTAAACCCTAAACCCTAAAAAACCCTAAACCCTAAACCCTAAACCCTAAACCCTAAACCCTAAACCCCCTAAACCCTAACCCTAACCCTAAACCCTAAACCTAAACCCTAAACCCTAATAACCTAAAAACCCTAACCCTAAACCCTAAACCCTAAACCCTAAAAAACCCTAACCCTAAACCCTAAACCCTAACCCTAAACCCTAACCCTAAACCCTAACCCTAAACCCTAAACCCTAAACCCCCTAACCCTAACCCTAAACCCTAAACCCTAAACCCTAAACCCCTAACCCTAAACCCTAAACCCCTAACCCTAAACCCTAAACCCTAAACCCGGTTACTCCCTCAAAAAAGACGTCGGCCAAAGGCTGCTCCCGAGCCAAGCCGGGGGCGAAGGCGAGGCCCCGAAGCCGAGCTTGGGCTTCCTTCGGCAGCTCTATGCCTCTTGGCCCAGAAAAATTAGGAGATTAGGAGATTAGGAGATTAGGAGATTAGGAGATTAGGAGATTAGGAGATTAGGAGATTAGGAGATTAGGAGATTAGGAGAAACCGTAGGCCTAAAGCCTAAACCCTTCATTATTAATTTTATTTGTTTTCGGTGTGTAGGATCCGAAGCTTAGGGGTGATAGGATTTGGGGGGTGTAGGGGCTCAGGATCTGGCGTGCAGGTGTGACATAGGGTTAAGAGGCGGTATAGAGGGTTTTGGGTAAAGGGCGCGGCGTGCCCCTTATTATACCCTAAGAAGACCCTATGAAGAGAACCCTACAAGTTTAGAAGCCCAAAGGTTTAAAGGTTTAGGGTCCTTACGTTTCAGCGAATTGGGGGCTCAGGGCTCGACAACTAGGGGTTCAGGCATCAGGTTTAGGGTCTAGGGAAGCCGAAGCCACGCCCCCTTGAAGTCATCGCGGGCTATTTCAAGGTTCCCCTATCGTTTCCTGCTGGCCACTGGCGCTACTAGGGATTTGTTGGCTTGGCACTGAACGGCAACACGGCACGGACCCTCGCAGCTGACCACGGCAATGCGGAGCTCACACACCTTCCTTTTAGCAGTGGGTACTGCTAGCAATGTCAGGAAACACGATGGTTTCACGGCGTTGCAGATCGAAGTCACGAGGATCCGCCTCAACTGCACAGACGCTTCGTCGGTGGACATCCAGCTCTTGCAGGTCTCCCGAGCTGGACAAGAAGCTCTCCGGTCGAATCATGGTGTCGAATGCCCTAGACCCCACCCAGTGACACCCAAAAGCCCACCTAAACTTTAAACCTCATTTAGGGTTAAGAATAAAGGGTTTAGGGTTTTGAGCTTCGGTCTACCCTAACCCCACAACCCCCTGAAGACTAAACCCCAACACCTAGGGCCTTTTAGGGTTGAGGAAACCCTAAACCTAAATTATGGGGTTCGGGCAATCCCTAAACCCCCGAAACCCCTACCCGTAAACCCCAAACCCAAAACCCAAACACCTTACGCCTTCAACCCTAAACCCAAAGCCCTCAAGCCTTGAAGGGTTTCGGGTTATGGGTTGTATCGGGTTCGGCCTTAGGAGATTAGGAGATTAGGAGATGAGGAGATGAGGAGATGAGGAGATGAGGAGATGAGGAGATGAGGAGATGAGGAGATGAGGAGATTAGGAGATTAGGAGATTTTGAGATTTTAGGGCAGCGCGAAGATTGCAACAGACAGCTGCTCTGAGCTGGTTTTGAGGCTGAGATAATGATGCAGCTGGAGGAGCAGGTGTGCAGCGAGTCGCAGCGCGTTGCTGTAGTTGCCAGCTTGCGTTTGAAGTGTTAGGCGCGCTTGAATATACAGCACGTCTCTATGTCTTTCGCAAGTGTCCTTGCCTGCACATCGATCCAGACATCAGCCTCCCGTTATTGGTTCAGAGGTTTTCAGAGTACTGACGACGATGCCTCAAGCATTGCTGCGACGTGATCATTCGAATACAGCTGCTTTCAACGTCTCTCTCAACTGTCAGTTCTTTCAATCCCATCCTCCAACAAGGACTTGCTAAGCTGCTGAATCCGCTAAAGTAGAGCTATGTAGAGCTTGCCCGCGACGTCCGCAAGGTGGATGAAGGCCACCGCAGCCGATTGAAGCGGCGACGCACGGAGGATGGCGAGAGAGGCACATCACGGCACTGATCCGCTTTTCTGTGACGTGACATTAGGGGCTTTACGAACATAGGGGTACCTTATTGGGGTCCTTATTTTAAGGGAATCCTACTATTTGGGGGTCTATATTAAGTTAGAAGATGCTTTGAGTATTTAGGCTATTGGCACCGCACATAGACCCTGTTCCACGACATTTTCCATCAACGACCGCCCGCTTGCCCCCCATCAGCAGCCATTGATCCATAGCCTAATCTCACCACAGAAAATGCTACCTCCCAGCCCTTACCCTAGGATAAACATCTATCTCAAGATCTCAGCCCCCACCCTAGGATAATCTATCTTAAGATCTCAAACTCAGGGATATCACCCCAGCACCACGCAACTCCAACCCAAGATCTCGACCCAAAACCCTGAACCAAATTCTAGAAGGAACCCCTTGCCTAGTTAGGCGTATGGCACCTGGACAGGGGTGTTGGAGTATTCCAAAGATTGTATTCTTGGGTTGGGATCATCCTACTGGGGCTGAGATCTTAAGATAGATGCTATCCTGGTGTGAGCTTAAGATAGATGTTATCATAGGGTGGGGGCTGGGTGGTGCCAAGGTATCATCTTACTTATTAGGGGTCCCTAATTTTCGGAAACCCCCATGTGCCTTGACAAAGCCTTGCAGGTCAGTCAATGATCCAGGCGGTGGAGTCGGTGGAGTCGCAGTTTCATTCGCGAAGGTTCTGCCGCCCCTTTGCTTTGGTGTGGTCGGCCTTCCGAATTCACGTATAGCGCCCCCTTGCGTGCAGATTGGTCGCTACTGGGCAGGCTGATCATAGTGCCACAGACGCGAAGCAGGTGTGGGGCCCCGGGGCGGCCATGGGTGCCTGGGCTGAAATCTCCCGGATGCTCAGGCCGTGGAAGTTCCTTGCCACGCCACAGGCCTACTGGTCAGCCCGACACCCAGGTAGTGGTCAGACATCGGGTTGACGGCACTAATGTGGTCTCCTGATTAGTGTGGGCCCCCCCCCCCCCCCAAACTAAATCCACCCCCGCAATAATGTCCAAAAAACAGGCCCCCCCAAACTAATTTTCGGCCCCGGGCCCCCCCCCACCGGCTCCTCTTCATTTCCTCTTCGCTCCTCTTCCCTCTCCTCTTCCTCTCCTCCATGCCCGAAAAACTTTTCATTATTGGAGGGGGGCAACCGAGTTTTTGTCCCCTGAACAATTTTTTGAAAACTTTTTATTATTATTGGAGGGGTCCACACAAATCAGGAGACCACATTACAGCAGAGAGTGGGGCTCTCCGGAGACCCCTGCCATGCCTCGGCACTCCTCAAGAGCGGAGGTGGATGATGAGCTCTCCGAGCTGTCTGGTGCCTGGCTACTCAAGAACTCGAACTTGCTGTAAGAGAGTGCAGAGACTTCGACGACTCTCAGAAAACGAAGCAGTGCGGTACTGATCAGGCCGTGCAGCCACTTTGCTCTGAAGAACTTCTACGGAGTCCAGGTCAAAGCGCTGCGCTCCTGGATATGAGAGTTTACGAGAAAACCCTTCATATGGCTTCAGCATCCGAGTGCAGCGCAAGATGCTTGAGATCAAGCCCAGATTCGGCTGGATGCCTCAATTTCGTGCTGAGGCGCAGTGAGGAGAGCGAAGCAGGCACAGCCTGTTCTCTGACAGATTGCCGCGGGCGCTGTCTGCATGCCCGTGCAGGTGTTGCCATCATAGACTTGAAGGATTTCTTCGTTCAGGTACTGTGTGAGCTGACACGGGGTGTGAGCGTGAGATTTTGACCTTGGGGACGCTTTGCAGGTTCTGGGCGTCAAGG